GCCCTCCCGCAAAATCCTCAAAACCAAATAATAATTAGTACTTTTTTTTTAAGAAGATGATAACTCAGGTTGGAGGCAGCGGCTGCTTTCTCTTTTTCGGTCTGTGCTTATCCAAGCCCCACTCTGCTGTGCACTTCCTGTCCGAGTGCAGCCGGGGCCGGGGGAGTGGGAGGTGGCAACTCTTCTAGGTTCCATAGTGCTGCGAGGAGTTAGGAATGATTCTGCCCCTCTTATGTCCTGTGAGAAGTGGGAAAAGGGAAGAGAGAAGAAAAGGAAAGAAAACCCCCAGCCAGCACCACTCACCCAGAGGGCCGGCAGCTTCCTTGGGAACCAAGTCCAGGATTTGCCACATTGTGTGAGCAAATTCCAGCTCTTCTCTGCCATTTGAAAAATAGCCCTAAGCTGGCTTGGTCAGGCCCAGGGCCTCAGAATGACAAATGTGTGTGTCCTGGTCCTCTGCCAGTTCAAAACCAGCCCCGTGCTGGCATGGTCAGGGGCAGGACTTCAGAGCCCCACGCCTAGGTGCCTGTCAGCCTGCTGCAGGTTCTAGAACAGCCCCAAGCTGGCCGGGGGAACCCAGGACCGTACAGCCTGCAGGTGTGGATGCGAAACTACGCATGGGGTACTGGGGCTGGTTCCTCCCTTCACTCGCCCCTCGTGCTGTGGGTGTTGAGCTCACTTAGCTGCCGCCGCTGCTGCTGCTTTTTGTCCGTCAGGTTCAGGGCCCTGGGTTTTTTCCTCCATGTCTGTTTGCTCGCACCTATGTGGAAAAGGGGTTGTGCAGTGTATCTAAATTGCCCACCTTTTATAAAAGGGTGGCAGACAAAAGCATAGTGCTTTGAATGTAGCTTATATCTTTCTGTCAAATGTAATCACTAGTTTTATTGACAGATTGTTGCTACTACTTGCTTTGGTAAACTAGATTTTCTTTAATATTAAAAGTAGGTGTAACAATAGGATTTGAAAAATATTTCAAAATGACCAGCGTCACCTAGCTAGGGAAGCTTGAGGGAAGGGTGTAGGTGTGTGACTGCCCACTGGCATTCACTGAGTTGTAAGCGTACGGAGTCCGCGCTTGCCCATCTCTTCCCATCACGAGCTGCAGCGCCTCTGCGGCCATACTGTGGAAGGTGGCCGACTCTGACATGCGCTCGGCCACGAGAACGACCTTCCTTCGTGGGCGGGCGGGGGCTCGCCGTCCGTGCTGCTTGCCGCCTGGAATCACAGAGCAGTTTACGCAGAAGCATGGAGTAGCCCAGCAGATTAAAACACTTTAAGATTTACATTTGGTAGGATTTAATTAAGGCCTTGATATTGACTTTAAGCCCCATTAATGTATATTTTGCGGGGAGCTTAGTGTACTTATTAGGTACTCCTTAGTACCAAGTATCATAGGAAAACAAAATTAGACCACTCTTCTCTCTTTTTGTAGCCCATATGAAACATTCCCCAAGTCTCAGAGAGAGGATGGAGCTGGGAATAATTTTTAATACCTAATGAAATCCAACTTCCACTGTAATGGGAATGATTCTGTTAAGTAACTATTCAATTTAGTCTTTGGGTTTTTTGTTTTTATTATTTGGTTAAAAAAATAAGTTTTGTTCATTGTCAAAGAAAAAAAATTTTAGGGAAATATTTAAGTGTGTGTGTACATAAAATTTTCCACGTCAAAAATATATGTAAAAATTTACTCTCATGATTCTTTTTCACATATAATTTTTATCTTTAAACACTTCAAAACATTTTTTACTTTCTTCTTTTTTTTAATCATTTTATTGGGGGCTCGTACAACTCTTATCACCACCCATCCATCCATGTGTCAAGCACATTTGTACATTTGTTGCACTCATCATTCTCAAAACATTTGCTTTCTACCTGAGCCCTTAGTGTCAGTTTCTCATTTTTTCCCCTCCCTCCCTGCTCCCCCCACTTTTCACTTTCTGCAAATACAGTTTACTCAAATGGAATGAATAGAAATAAAGCCGATGTAATTCGTCAGATGCTTGCAGAGGGCCTAATTTATGTAGAGATGTGTTTCCAGTCACTTGTAAAGAAAGGCTATGAGAAAAGTGGGTTTAGGACTTGGGTTAAAAGGAGAATACCGATGTCTTTTATAGTTTACAGAAGGTGGGGGCAGCACCTTCTTTAATGTTCCTCCTTTATTCTGTAAGTTTACAGGAGTTAATTGGCTGGAAGTAGTGATGGAAACCATTTACACTTTCTTTCTCTGACAAGTATCCTCCTTAGGTAGGTTCCAGCTTTCACGGGTTTTACTGTATAATTTTAAGTCAAGTGCTTGGACATCAACAATATCTTTTTTTTTAGGATTTCTCTGGCCACCAAGTCCACCAACTAGTATCTTTTTTTTTTCTTTCCCCTAAACTATTTTATTGGGAGCTAATACAGATATTGTATCATTCCATAGTTCAATCACATCAAACAGTATTGTACAATTGCTACCAAAATCAATTTCAAAACAGTCTCTTCTTGAAGTCCTTGATATCAACCCCCCACCCCCCCAAAAAAAAACACAACACCTGGTGTTTTTATAGGACAATGGCATAAGCAAAGTATATGGGAGTTTAGTTTTAATTCCTACTTTAGCAAGGAAATCGTTCAACATGAGTTAGCTGGAACTTCCCAGAGAGATGCAAAAAACCTCTCAGCTGTCAGATTAGATTCTTCTCTGTCATGGTTAAGAAAAGTACCTCCATCCAACCACATATATTACCAAATCTGGTCTCTTTCAAACTTACACTAAAGCTGACACATTCTGATGTTTTGTGGTATGACCTTGGCACAAACAGATATGACGTTTCAGTGTGCACAGTGCTTACGAGAATCGAGCTTGAAACTGGTCAGGTTTAAATCCTGGTTGTGTCCCTTAATCAGCTGACTGATCCTGAGCTTTAGTTTGCTAACTTGTCAAATGGGATAAAGACATTCCTTGGGAGGATGTAAGGATTAAATGGTGAAATACTTATAAAATGCCTGACTCCATGCCCCATAAGATAAGTTCTCAATAAATTTAAGTTGTTATTTAGTACTGTTCTCTACTTATGTAAACATACTCTTCTAAGATGATATATTTTTCAAAAGGCTCATTTTCATAATAATCTATTTTATAGTTTGAAAGCTATTAAAATCCTTGTTCTATCCTTTTGTGCTGTTAGTTTTCCTAATAGTAAGATAGGAAATTAAAGCTTCAGTTACCTTATTATTGTTTTAATGAATTCATTCTCAATCTATTCATGGCCCTAGAAGAAAAGAACCAATTAAGTTAGTTTTAAAATATTCCATAAAGTAATTTACATAGATTCTAATTTACACTCATATTTTATAATAATACTAACTATATAACCTGGATAAGTTACTTAACATTTATAAACCTTAGTTTCTTCATTGATAAAGTTAGAATAATAATATGGTTATTAAAGACATAAATACATTCACAGACCATAACTCTGTTATAAGCAAATAATAAATAATAGCTATTATTATTTTTATAAATTACTAATTATTCTTCATTATTTTTAAAAGATTGTGGGACATTGAAAAGAAGAGGATGTAACATTTTGCCATGTTATTACTACCAAAATTAAAAACACCAACTAGTTGCCATTGAGGAAATCCAACTTATAGGACCTTATAGGACGGAGTAGAAATACTTCGCATGGTTTCCAATTTTATAATTTATCATATAACCTTATCGCCACATGGCTCGCATGCACTCCCATGATTCAGTCATGTTAGAAAGAGTTGCACAATCAGTTCCAGACCATTTTCTGCCCTCTTCTGTTCAGTGTCAGCTTCTCATGCCTCCAGCCCCCAACCCCCACCTGTGTCCCCTGTCAGCCCCTAATCCATTGGCTTCACCCATCCCAGACTTCATGAACGGAAAAGGAAAAACAAGCACCGACACACAAAATGACCAACAATAATAAAATAAACCAGTGTAAAAATCCCCATCAAGAAAAAAGCAGAAAGTATTAAAAACTGGAACAAATTTAAAATGAAGGGGAGATCAAATGTAGCCTCCTTACATCTGTCATGATCTCGTTTGTGATATTCCCAGTCTGATAGCAAGGCTATTCATCTCTCTCCGCTATGATTAGAGGGATTCATCAGAGGCGTAATTCGTATAGGAACCCTGCAAAGGGATTCTGAGTTCCCACGGTCATCCATTGCGTTCTGCAAATTGGGCGTTCACAATTTAAGCTCTGATACCATTCCCTCCTTTGGATCTGGATTTTATTCTTCATCATCCTTGGATCACACCGGCTGGTGTGCTTTTTCCTTGTGGACTTAGTTGATGCCTCACTTAGATGGCTGCCTGTTTGAAGACAGACCTTTAAGATCCCAGGCTCTATTCTTTTTGATAAGCCTGTAAATCTTTACCGATGTAGACTACTACATCTTTCCTCCCTCGGAGCAGCTGATGGGTTGAACTGCTCTTGTGTTGATTAGCTGAACTACTGTGCCATAGGGTACCTGTTAATAGAACAGTGATGATTTATGATTATGGTAGTCACTGATGCCAGATAACCAAATACAATGCATATAGTACTCTAGAATTCTGATGTACCTTCTGATTTAGTGAAGGATATTGCCAGAATCTGTGGAATAACAAAATCATCAGAATATTAACCTAAATTCTATGCCATTATCCTAAATCTGATTTGACTGATATATTTCTCTATAAATTCTTATTCCATGAAGTTGGACAATAAAGCCTTATTATCTTTAATGGTTAATTAACTATGTTCACAATTAAAATTCTCTTTTCTCTTTTAGTGAGAAGCATGTTTATTCAAACACAGGATACTCCAAACCCCAACAGTTTAAAGTTCATCCCAGGAAGACCAGTTCTTGAGACGAGGACCATGGATTTCCCCACGCCAGCGTCAGCGTTTCGCTCCCCTCTGGCTAGGTATATTCACGCAGGGGATCACTGCGCCGCCTGGAGCCTCTTGTACAGTTTCTCCACGCTTATGCATGTCTAACGTTTTCCGTAATAAGAATTTATTTTTCTGTATTTCCAGGCAGTTATTCAGAATTGAAGGAGTAAAAAGTGTCTTCCTTGGCCCAGATTTCATCACAGTCACAAAGGTAAACTCAGGCTCGTAGTACGACTCGAAGGGCAGTCGGGTTTCCCGGCCCTGCGCTCATCTCCAGACTCCATTACATTCCCACATGAAGTTCCTTCTCATAATAGATTTTTAAGTGGAAATGAAATGACACAGAAGGGAAAAAAAGCTTGAGTTTCAGAGAATTAAATACAGCGTCTAGGAGCCCTGGTGGTGTGGTGGTTACTCGTTAGGCTGCATACGATCCGAGTGATTGGCAGTTCGAAACCACGGAATCTCCATAGACCACTGGGCTGCCTCCTGTTAACAGTGACAGTCTTGGAAACCCACAGGGGTCAGTAAATCAGTCAGTAAATCAGTAAAGTGATTATATATTTAAAAAAAAGTTAATGTAAAAATATCATTACCTTTCAACTCCCTTTTTGGAATCCCTTTGATGGTCCCTTGTACTATTTAACGTAATTACCAAATAGGTATTGCTTCATTTCATAATGAGAAATTATATGCTTATTTTTAAAAATATGTATACTTTTTAACATCTGATCAATGCTGTTATAAAAGTTTTGGTAGTTAAAAACTACACAAGGTTTTCTCTTTAGCTTTTCCTTGTCCTTGCTCGGGTCTTTCTTTCTCCTGCTGCCTGTCTGTGCCTTCGCTAGTCTCACTCACTCACTTGGAATGGCCTCGACAAAAGGTACAGGCAGGACACGCAGTGATGTGTAACAGCTAGCGTTGTGCATTTGATTTGTTTTCTTTCATTGGGGCATTAGACTGCCTCCAAGTTTGTCCTCCAAAATAACTCCTCTTTAAAAGCCCCAAATGAAAGAAACATTTCACCTTTCTCTTACTAGATGTCCGTATAGTCGTGCCCCCCACCCCTCAGGGAATACATTTCAGGGCCCCAGGTAGAAGCCCGAGACCATGATTAGTTCCAAACCCTTATTGTTTCCAACACTGTGCCTACATGCCTATGATAAAGTTCAACTCAGAAGCTAGGCACAGTAAGATTACTACCAATAACTAATGATTAAAATTGAACAGTTAGTTAACATAAAATAAGGGCTACCTGACCACCAGCACTGCGATACCTGGGCAGTTCCAGTCCACCTGATACCCCAGAGGGCTACTTAATGACTCAAAGGGTGGGCAGCTTACATGCAGAGATGCTGACCCAAGAAGATGGTTCACTTTCCAGGGAAACAGAGCAGAATGGTGCGAGAGTTCATTGTGCTACGTGAAACGTGCCATTTCAAACTTCTGAGTCATTCACTTTTGGAATTTTCCTTTTAATATTTTTGGACCGTGGTTGCTCCCAGGCAACGACCTGGAGAAAGGAGAACCGTGGAGAATGGGTGGCTACTGCCCTGCTGGGGAAACCCTGGTGGCACTGGGTTCAAGCGCTTGGTTATTAACCAGAAGGTGTTGAATTACACCCACTAACCGTCCTGTGGGAGAAAGGGCTCACACTCCACTTCTGAAAGGTTTACAGCCTTGGGAACCCCAGCGGGCAACTTGGCTGTCTATAGGATTGCTAGAACTTGGACTGGACCTTAGGACAGTGGGTACTGTACTTTTTAAGAGTTTAATAAGCCTGTCTTATGATGGGATCAACTCCCTGGCCAGGTAATAGGACATGGTTATGAAATCTTTCTCATTGATGTCAGTCATGCGGGTCACCCACAAGTCCCTCAACTGTGTAGCCTTGGTGAGACATGTTACCGGTTTGGGTCTGTAGTCGCATCATTGCATTTCTTCAGTACTCTTCAGCAATGTTTGTAAGTTCGTTTTTTAAAAATAGCTATAGAATATCCTGTATGTTCAATTTACATTCCTTCGATCATTCCTTCAAAAGAATGGGAAGCTTGTTAGCAACCTCTTTATGGACAGAGAATCCATTCATTTCATGGAAAAGTCTCTTTAATCATTTCGGTGCCCTGTGCAGGGTGTACCACTGTAGCACATTCAGTGACCGCTTGCTGACCGGCTGAATTCATGCAGGAACAGGGAGTGTATTGAGATGACAGAGCTGAACTCAGAACTGGCATGTGCTCTCCAGAAGTGGGTAATCTTGCACAGTAGGAAACAAGTCGAAAAAAGTTGCCAAGTGGTCTTCTGAATTTATCTTGGCCCTCGTATGGGAATGTAGTGTTTTCCTGCCATTTTCACAGCAAAGCGAAGAGTTAGACTGGAATTTATTGAAGCCGGATATCTACGCCGCGGTCATGGACTTCTTTGCGTCTGGCTTACCCCTGGTTACTGAGGAAACAGCTTCAGAAGCAGGTAACCTATTGTGTGGGTCAATTAACATTTACTTTTGGCAGTTTCTGTTTTGCTAATTCATTCGCATTTGCTCTGGTTTCAAAGTAATGGGGATACAGACTTTTCTCATTGAATTTTGTTAACTCGGAGCCTTGGTTGCTGAGTGGCTACACGTTTAGCTGCAGTCCACAAGGTCAGCAGTTCGAAACCACCAGCAGCTCCGGGGAGAAAGACAGGGTGTCTCACGCCTGTAAGAACAGTTCCCGTCTCAGAAACCCACAGGGCAGTTCTGCCCTGCCCTCTAGGCTGCTGTGAGTCGGCATCAACTCGATGACAGTGCCTGGATCACGTACCATCGCTCCAGACCAATTTGAGGGAACAACTTCATATATACGTACTAGTGTTGCCATCATTTTGAAGATTGGAATCCAAATTTTCAAGCATGTAGAAAAAAATAGTGCTCACCAATTAGCCCTACATTCAGATTTAGCAAATGTTAACTTTTTTCTTAGTTGATTTCAGCCTATTTTAAAATAAAATATTAAAGATACACTTACAACCCCAAGACTTCATGTAGCTTTTTCCTCCTATTTTCAGTTATGTGTATAAATGTGTTTTTTTAAAAAAGTTTTTATGTTTTTATACTGTTGCACCACTTGTCTCTTGTTAAGATTATATCATCCAGGTTATTGTTCTTAAATTTTAAATAACTTGTGCTGCACTACAGTTGGCCTTCCATTAGAAAATGTAGACCTAGTTTATTTACTTTAAATGCTTGCTAGTATTTCATTATATGAGTTAGTTTGTTAAGGGCTTTGTGCTCTTATGTATAGCCAAGTGAGTTATTTATACTAATTTTTCTTATAAATATTGCTGCAGTGGGCATTCTTGTACAAGTCTTCTTATGCATATGTGGAAGCTTCTTTAGAGGACAGTTTTAGAAGTGAAACTGCTTACAAAGTCATAGTAAATCAACAGAGCAAGCTGTAGAACAGTGTATGATCTCATCGGTGTAAATTTACACATAGAAATGTCAACATGTAAAAAGAGTGCAGGATATTCAGGACTGGAGGTTGTTAGAATGCTTACATTTGTTCTACTATAATATGACTCTCTGGATTAGTAGTTTTTCCAAAGGGAATTAAATGTCTCAAAAATAAAAACCTTAGGGAGACATTGGTGAAGATTAGTAAATAACTCTACAATGTAAAGTAAAAACAAAAGCCTAAAGGCTCAACAGATTTGTAAAACATTTTGGAAATTTCCAGAAAGTTTCTATCTGTGATACTTAGCCTCTTTGAAAACTGCTAAATTGAGAAGTTGAAGATGTAACTTAACAAAACCAGGTGCGCCTTTTTATCTCGGACATTCTCATCAGAATCCCCGTTTTCTCTTCTGCTTTTCAATCCTTCAGAATGATGAAAGTTTACAGATTCGTTGGCCCCAAACTTTAAATAGTAACGTGATCGGTAGATCAAGGTGTTTCAGTATTTTAACCTTTATTACCAAAGGTTGGATTGATCAGTGCTCTGATTTTTTTCTTCAAATTAGATGATCTATTTCCCCAAAACTGGTTATATCATCACACTACTTTATGTACTTATGCTTTTATGTTTTTAATGAGTAGTGAAATGTAAATCTTTGTGTTTTATTAATGTATGAATATAAAATATATACTGTTGTATTTGTCTTTATGATTGTTTCTAGGATCTGAAGAAGATGATGAAGTTGTAGCAATGATTAAGGAATTATTAGATACTAGAATACGGTAGGTGCTCATCGCTACCTGAAATCAAGTGCTGCAGAATCAATTTTCATCATGTAATATGAGCAGGCTTTAAAAATTTTGTGGAAAAATGGAATTAAAAGATAGTGGAATTTTTCCACAAATTTTTGAAGCCCCCTTGAAATCTCTGTTTTGTTTTGTCAGTAAGACTATAGTAGAGTTACAAAATTAGGACAAGTTCCTGTAAGCCACCAGAGTTCCACCATCGAATTCAAGACAATCTACTCTGAGGTTCACTTCAAAGTTTACAACACCTGTGCCTTTAGTCAATGGAGGAATTTCTCATTCACCATCACTAGTGGCATTTGGTATTGTTATAATAACACATGTTCTTTAAAGAAAAAGACTTACTAGTATTGGGGAAGATTTTGAAGAGAGGGGAAAATACCTATTTTGAGGCTATTCACCATGAAGCAAAATCGGAATGAACGGAGCACAGCAGGTTTCCACTTTTTGTAGCGGCCCTGCTGAGAACTCTTGGAAAGCTAGATAAGCTGCAATCCAAAGATGGTAGTTGGAAGGTATTAAACACTGCCGAAGCAACCGGTGCTGAGGGAAGGGAGGCTCCGACGAGGGGGCCAGCATTCTGCTCCCCCCTTTCCCTTTGGAGCACTTGCTGATTTTTAATCCGCAGCGGCAGTGTGCGAAGCCGCTAACGTCCAAGAATCCGAGGAACCATCTAAGCTGTCAGCAAGTAAGTTGAGATAGCATGACAAAAATTTTAATTTGGGGTTTCCCATGAAGTCTTGATTTTTCTTTTTTTAAAAAAATGCTTATTAGCACATAGTTTACATATCCTGCAGTTCAACTGGTCAGTCATATTCAGACCTGGACAGTCATCACCACAATCAATTTGAGAGCATTTTCATCTTTCTTGCCCTCGTTGTTACTAGCTCCCCATTCCCCTCAACCTCCCTGCCATACCCCCAAGGACCATTAACCCAGTTAACTCTCTCTAGATTTGCCCACCCTACATTTCATAATCCGAGAAACAAACAACAATAATAAAAGAGAGAAAAACAAAAAACAATAGTAACAATTCCTCAATTGAAATGAATGAAGAAAATATCAAAATCTAGAACAAAGTTAAAATGGGT